ATTCTTGGTAATATATTAGGGCATCTATACTGTACTACAATTGTTCAATACTGACATCTAACTGGTTGAAAAGGATAATGATATGATATACTAGTGTGGTATGTTTTAAAAGCTAATGTGGAAACAAGAGGATTAAGATAAGCCAGTGAACAAGGCTACAATGTTTAAGGAATAATCCCTTGGGTGTCATTTCTGAACTTCTCCTTTCAGTATAGTACTGTAAACATTCCTGATTTCTTTATACTGAAAAACATAACAAGTGAAATTGCACAGATCTGCGGTTACATGTACATCATTCTTGGCATGTTTTAATACTTGTGCTTGGAGAGTGGGAGGGGTGTAGTGGAGGACAGAATTGATGTTTTCCAGAAAAGTGATTATGATTCCTGAGGTTGATTCAGTAAGAACTTCGACCAAGCGCATTAGGCCAAAAAAAAATTGTTGTGTTACCCTCAGCTACTGACAGAAATTTTCCAAAAATTTTGGTCGGTATTTTTTTGTTTTTTGAAATTTTGTTCAAGTACAAATTCGAGAAATTCCACAGCCAAAATTAACATTTAGAACATAAAATCTTAACCCATTATAGTTGTAATGTATTGTAGTAAATTACTCCAAATTTTTTGCTGTATATGAAAGTAATTGATTCTACTACAAATAAACTGTAATAATTTTTTTATTGTTGAAAATGTTCCATTACAAGTTGATTTTATTTTGATGCATATTAAATAAGCGTTCCAGTCCCTTTTCTAAATTTTGCATAAATAAAAGCATATATAATTATATAATATTATAGGGTGATAATAACTGATGTTTTTTATATGGCCTAATTCTCAAATTTCCATTTGTTTTATATACCATTTTCTGTGTAAAACTAGGAGTTTATTGATGAATAAGCAAGTAGCCTTCTTGATTGCGAGTGTGGTGCAAAAAGTGGTACTGAAGCCCAAAAGCGCCGCGCTGTCATAAACATCTATCTAAGACTAGAGCTTTTGCAGGGTATGATATTATATTACTTTACGTACGAGTACGAGGCCAGCCTAAGTAAGTGTTTTGTACAAAGTATGCATTGGCCTAGGCATGTAAATAATAATTACGAAATGGATGGTGGTGTGTCAAAATAATAATTTCAAACCTTCAAAACAGTTATTGTATTATCAATATCAACCGTACATAAAGAGCACATGAGTTATGTTTACAATCACCATCGCTAGCCTATGCCTGCCTGCTGTGCGACAGAGTGCAAATGCTTGTAAATAAGAGTTACTATATATAATATAATACTATAATTTTATGACCATATATTTATATATATTTTTTTATAGGTCATATTTTATGACCTATAATATTACTAACCTATGAAACAGCGATGTCACTGTCGGTAGACAAATCTAAGGTCAATTTATCATTGAAAAAGTCTTCCCTTTCTAAGACGTTCAGCGCTTGCTGTGGCGTCAGTGCGAAGCTAAAGCGATTCAAAACTTCTCTTCTTCTCAACTGTTTGACATTTAACGCAAAGTACGTCATTTTTTCAAATAGAAACCTCATTGGATGATGAGATATTCTGAAATGGGATTTCCCAAAGTATATGTAGACGTTTTTCGCGACATGCTAGGGTTGGTATAACAGAAGTTATAGCGGGTTGAATAGCCAGGGCGGTTTAGGGCGGTCTAGGGAGTAATGCGCAGGGCGGTTTGGGGCTGTCCAGGTGCTAATGGGTCAAACAGACATGTATTTTTATCAAAATCGGGCCATACTGTAGATGCACACATAAAATCTGTAAAACACTGTAGAAGGCATAATTTGGAAAACCGAGAAAGAGGACGATATATGCACGCAACATCAGATCTCTCGCGCTGAGCTCTCAAGCCACGACCAGATCTTCCTATGAGCTACGAGCCCTTAGGCCTAGAGTTTTAATAATAGGGATTGCAGTTTGGGGCCTATCCTATTTCAGGCATCATTAAAAAAAAAAAAAAAAAATCTGACTGACCGATGATCTCGATTTTTTTCATTAAATGGCACCACAACAATTTTTTTTTTGCCTTATTCTTCAATAACCTTTAGTCTATTGCTCTTGTTCTATAAGAACAGTACATATTGTATGTGCCTGCTATATTCAATGGAAAAATATTCAATTGAAGGTTAAGATATTATACTAGAAATTGCAAATTGCAAGTGAAGTGCTGCGAAGTACAACTGCATATAAATGTTCTTTGAACAAAATTATTTATGCGAGTCAAGTGAAAATAATGAATAATAAAAATATAACAAATAATATGAGAAACGACCCCTATGTCTATATTAGAACACTTCACTTCTCATTGGGTAACAAAGTCGTAATTTTTCATTTTTGTCAAAAAGTGTCTATAGTGGTGAATCATGGTTTAGGGTTTTTTTTAATAAAGTTTCAAAAATTTCTATGTATATGAAAATTGTTGATTACCAAAGGTTACAATTTTTATTTTGAAGACTGTGTTATTTGATCACAAGTGCAAGACATCACAAGTGTGAGCCAGCGAGTAATGACGTCACGACAATAGATACGAGACGTAAACGAGTTGTGCGAGGTATTGTCTGAGATTTGTGGAGTACAATTCAAAAAACAACTATAGGTCTAATAATGAATTATTGAGATGTTAAATAGACAATGTTAGCTATCAAGGAGCGTCGTTGTTTTTCATTGGGACCTTCGTCCCTTCAAGGCTAGGCCTATACCATCCTAGCAGGTCTAGGCCTAGAGTAGGATAAGGCTAGCGCGACATGCGAACGTTGGTACGTGTAGGTTAGTCTACAAACGTCGCCTAAAGTAATTGATTTTACCCGGCAGAACGAAAGAAAGAAACTCCGCTTTTCAGTCGTCTTATGCCCTTATTTTTTGACAAACAATGACCTTTCAGAGGTCAAATTGCTGTCAAGAATATGAATTGGCTGCTTCGCAGCAATAAGCTAATATGTAATAGGCTAATATATTGTTTTTTTTTTTTAACTGAACACATAGTAATTATGTAGATTCTTATATTTAATGACTGTATGCTTCAAATCAACTGAGAAGCTGATAAAATATGAATTAATTGAAATAGATCAGAAATTTCAATATGAATCAATCTTGTTTTTCTAGAAACATTGGAAATAATCTCATCTTCATAGATTTAAATGGATAAAAACAATCACCTAATTATAGCAGTGACAGATTTTGAAAAATAATCCAATTTGGAAAAAAAGGTTTTTCTATAAGGGCCCTGTAACACTTTCCTGCAATTTGAGAAGTCTGTTAAAGGCGTCAAATTTCTTTATATTTCAAAGTTTTTTTTTTTGGTATAAAACATAATGATAAATAGGCCTACTAAATAATGACTGGAGACTACGTAAATCCGGGGATTCGTAAAATCAAGGTTGGGTTAAGTTAGTTGTGACCTTTGACCTAATATGTACACAAGACCCAGTAAATGTATGTTATGGACTGAAGGTGTTACCTACATAATATTCTGTGATGTCATAGTAATGTTTACCAATAAAATCCATGTGTTTAGTGTTTTTATTTGTCACTTTCCGATGTCATAATACAGTACAGTATTCAAATAAAAACCTGTTTAGTGTATTTTCATCACTTGGTATCTTTTATTAAAATACATGTAAATATTAGGATTACCTATATGAAAAAGGTATAACTTCATGGGAATGGGAATTTCCCTTCATGGTGTTTTTGTCCGACGTGCTGAGGCAAACTAAAACCATTTGCACTGGGCGAGACAAACAGCTAGCGTTTGTGTGTAAAATCACATCAGTGCCTACAGGTACTCAGCACAGTTAACTTTGTGTAGAAAATTATACTGAAAATAATCGTTGAATCAGATAATGTAACAAAATGTGATAAATATACTGAGCATTTAAATAAAAATAACAAGCACATTAATGTGTGTTACGATAAATTATAATTGTATCTCTGGTTTGACTTTTTAACTCTTTTTTATGATCTTTGTTTTACATTGCTTGTAATAAAAGATAATTTCAATTGTGACACAGTCCATAAACCTTTGTGCTTTTTGCTGCTTTTAAGTGTTATTTGTATAAAGATGGGTCATTTAAATAAAGACAATGAATGTAAAAAATGAAATCCAAGAAAGTCATTGTTAATTGAATTACAGTTTTAAGTATTAACATTTTACTGCACTGCATTATGAATGAGTGTTTATCTTTGGAAGAATTTTTAAGGTTAAAGGCCACATGCTTTTTAGATATTTACCAGATGGTCAACCATAAAGTCATAAAATAATCTTGCTGTTGCCATAGAAACATTACTGGTATGGTTTGTTATGTTTATTATAGTCGGAAGATTGAAGAAAGGACACTAATAATTATTTTATTATGGAAAAAACTTGGTACTCCATTTAAAAGCTCATTGTTTTGTTTTTTAGTTGCTGTAGATAGAAAAGAAAAAACGTATTTCTTTTTCCTTTCCTTGTCTTTTTGGTGTACCATTTTTTTGTTTACTTTTACAAGGCAAACCCCATATTCAAACATCTCGAAAAGCATGTTTTTTTGAGAATAAAATTATACTATATTTTGTTCTTGTATACTATATTTTGTCTTTTTGTATCTTGTACAATAGCCAGATATAGGCCTGTGTGTTTGATCTGCTAAAGATCATCTTTCTGAAGAAAAGAAAAAAAATCCTCATCATCTTCTTTGTAAAAAAAAAAACAAACAGAATGATTGTTATGGAAAATAAACTGGAAGCTTAAAAAATATGATTTTTGAAGGAAGATGATGAAACCTTTTTTTGGGAATAAGCACCCCTTTAGAATTAATGGTTGAGTCTGTTCATCTAAGGAGGTGTGTCTAGGACTAACCATGTGCCTCTCTGTAGAGGAAGTATGAAGGCTTGAAAGGACACTTTGCGGAAGCTAAGCAGCTAACCAAGCAGGCATATATTTCATCCACACCTTATAAACCAACCAGGTAGGCTTTAGCAAAGATTGTTTTTTATTTAACCATATATCAACACTTACAGTAGATCACCTGTTTTATTCACTATTGGAAAATCCAATAATTAAAATCATTTGTTGGTGTGTGTGCTCAGCTTGAAAACAATTTTTTTTTCAAAAGAAGGCAAGTTGAAGTTCTACGAAGCACTGACCGGTAAGGTGGGGTTTAGAGTATGAAATTTGATTTATTTTGTTAAGTATATTTTAATCTTAGAAACTAACGGAAGTTCATAATTCACTACATACAGACTTGGTACAACTACTGTACTAAAAAATACAATAAAAAAAATATAATGGTTGTGATAGAGATGCTATGGAAGAAGACATCTATTAGTTCATTGTACCCATATTAATAGATAGGTCTAATGTTCATTTTTTTCAATGGTTTGAAGACATACATAATGAAAACAGTACATATTGTTTTCATATGTTTAAAATAACTTTTCAATATCTTTTTACCACATGATTGATCTCAAATAACATAAAAGATCTATGAATGAAGTGATTCAGTGAACCAGGAGTTGTATATAAGCTAATCTCTGCAATGCAAAGTGTGTTCCAAAAAATGGAGGATAATATTAATTTTATATATATAAATCATGAATTTGCATTTTTTACTGAAGTAGTTGAACATGAATTTAATTCAATCCGACAGCTGAAAATTTTTAGTGTGTATCGTCTATCCAATGTTCAACAAAGAAACGCCATGTCTCTTTCCTGTTGTGTCTGTAACGTCACCTTCTACATGACATCAAACATTTACAACTGAACACAAAAATACCACAATATTTCATGATAGTTTGGAGCAGGTTTAAATTTCCTGCAACTGGTACCGGTCAAATTTCAATGAGTAACAATTCCCTGAAGATCAGTATCAGGTCTAAATTTTAGGTCATTGTTAAAAAAAATAATTGGCTCTATAAATACAGTAGTATCCAGGGTTCCCTTGCAGAGTAGATACCTTTTTGTTAACAATACTATTTGGTATGTGTAATTTGCTTCAACTATTTTGACTTTTGATTTTACATCTGATAAAGCAAGATTATTTTATTATTCCTTCTTTGGCGAACTTGTACTTTTGAAAGATTTTCAAGGAAGGACGAAAAACATTAAAATATAGTTTTGTTTTTTCCATTCAGCAAAATGGTTCTGCCAAAAGCATCTAGGTGGGGAGAAAATAAAAAATTAGATTATGTTGTCAAATAAAATATGTGTGCAAGTAAGGTGTTGTTCACAATTATGAACATTTTCACAAGTGTACAAACAGTACTCTTTTTTTTTTGGTACCTCCTCCCTTCCCTCTCAAGGTGTACAAAAAATTTTTGATTTTGCAAAACCATTCTCCGTTTTTTTGTGAAGTCAACTAAAGCAATGTACTTGGTTGCTTAAAAATGAATATTATATCCATGGTTACATTATAATTTTACCATCATTTTACATATTACATGTTATTTTGAATCAACATTTTTATGTATATGTAAAAGTATACAAATTTGTCTACCCCTCCTCCTAGCGTACTGTTTGTATACTTGTGAAAATGTTGATATGTTGAACGACACGTAAAGGTAAGGTGAGACTTTTTTAATACCTTACTTTAGCGAACCCGTCACCTGTTTATGATGATTTCAAACATAAAATTAACAATTTAGGTTTGACCAAATAGCACACCTGCCACTTCCTTGAAATCTCCAAAAATAAGATATGTATATTTGCTTTCTAATAATATATAAATTTAAAGAATTTAACCATCCCATTTACTACACTGTTTACATTCAACAATAAAATTTAATTTTTATTTTCTTTTCCATCTAAATGTTTTTGGCGAAGCCATTTGCTAAATAAGAAAACAAAATTTTATTTTTATTTTTTTCCCACCCTCCTGTGAGAATCTTTGTGAAATGCGAAACAAGTTATAAAAAAAAAGCCTAAAAAAAAGTGTGAGGTAAAAGTAAAGCCCTGTCCAGACTCAAATTTTATTTGATAACATCAGTGACATGCCTTAATATGGTCATGATGATATTACATCATGACCATTTTTGCTAAATTTGGAGTGAAAATTTCCCAGAACCTGGCAACTATCACTGGGGGACATCCAGAGGCCTGGGCATGTCGCTCAACGTAGTTACCAGTGTTTATCTTTGCTCTGTTTTTTGAGCGACGTCTGACCAGGCCAACTTTTTTTCGTCAGAGAAATCGCCCCTCCCCCATTCTCTGTTGTTTATTGATTAATTTACTTTCTGCATTTATCCAACACTTCTGTATAGGCCTGCTGTAGAATTAGTACTTGTCATATTGGTATGATGTTCTAAAGTCTTTAAAGTAAATGAGGATAAGGAGTGGAGATGTTTATTTTTGAGAATGAGTCTTGGCAATGCTGATTAATTCACTTTAGCCTATTGTTGGCTACTGTATAGTGAGTACCTCTTGAAATCACAAGTATGGCAATCGATGATAAGAGATAGTGTTGAGTCTATTGAACTTAAGTGCCTCTTGTCTCCTGTAATAAAAAAAAAAAAATTGTGGCCATAGAATATATAACTTTGACTTGTGGCCATAGAATATATAACTTTCACTTAAGTTCAGTGTTGAAACAAAGCATGAACCAAGCTGGATAATGAAAACTTGCCTGGATATTTTCTTCTGTGCCACATTCCCAAAGGAAGATAAAAAACTTGTATCAGATGGGTTTACTGGTTTGGTGAGCTAGTTTTGATGAGTCCCTAATGAGGCTGATTGGCATGCATGGTTGTTAATTACATCATAAATCCTCCTGTGACCTCATTTCAATGGTATCTAAATGAGGAAGTGCGTCTATCATAGAAAATGATTTTTTGTTTTTTTTGAGAGGTGAACTAGGAAGGAAATAAGTATTAACCCAGCATAAAAAAATCCATGGGTTTAATTATTTAGTTAAAAATTACTGGGTTTATCTTGCCTTTTCATTGACCCATAAGCATTTAGTATAATTTAACATCTGTAGAAATTGTATAGGCCTTTATGCACTACTCAGTTTTTTCAAAGCCCAGTTGCTAAAGGCCCATGGTTTTGTATCACTAAAATATTGTAGAGGTACACCAAGATATGGGATGATAAACAAACAATGAACTGATATCAATTTGGTAAGTATTAATTAAATTGGTATTTATTCACATATATTATAATGTGTATTGCTACTCTTTACTATGTGCCTCTGATTTATAATGAAATAATATTGTAAAAGATACAAAAATGCTTCAATTGTGAAGTGAGCTATAGATAGAGTACACTAGAGCCAAATGGAGCAATCAACTTAGTAATTGTATAATAAATAGTATACATTCCTAATGATGACATAATTAATGTTGAAATATTGAATCCCAACACGATGGTGTGCATTTAATAGTATAGTACTTTAAAGCATAGTATTTCCTTGACATCCCTGGCTAGATTTTGTTGTACAGTATCATATTAGAAAAGGATTACAGTGACAAAAAGAATTTGCCCTGGTTTTGAGGTTAGTTCTGGAAAAGTTCACAAGGGGATATATTTTCCAGTTGATTGGCTCAAAAGTGTGTCATGTGGATATACAGTATATCACACTTGAATGCAAACACACAAATCACAACAAGTCAAACACATCAATTGTCACAGATTTATGTCCAAAAATTTAGGATTAAGTATGGAATAAATAAATAATAAGGAGTACAATCAAAAGTACCCCAAATCCTGACCTTTTTACAAGCTTTTGCATTTGTATTTAAAAATTACTGTACTGTCATAAAGTGTCAAGAATCTTCTCCCCGTTACTTCACCAAAAAAAAAAGTGTACATCCCTAAAGGCATTCCATATGAATTCATAACCATGTGTCCTCTTGATAGATTTCTCACTTAATATGAATTGTTTGTGTGGTTCATCGCTAAGACTGATGCACAAAAGCTGATTTTATCTCTAGCTTTAGAAGACAATTTAAATGAAGCCTTGCAGAAAAATAACTGAGCTGGCTCACTCAGACTCATAAGAGTAAGAAGGGATTTTATTTTTCAATATGAAATATCGGATAGCTATTTATTACAGTTTAGTGTAAACTTGCATTACTGTTTTTGGCAAAGAATATACTGAACAGTTGCGGCACCAGCAAGGGTTCCATGAGGCACAAGAACTGGTTGCGTATCTATGGGCCTGTTCGAGCAAGAAACGCCAACTGTATTCTGTTTACGTCACCGGGTAAGCGCGCTAAGCACTCAGCGGGCGGTTGACCGTTCGAGCAAGTTTTAGCTCATAGTAAATACGTACGTGTAACAAAACTGCTCTGGAAGTAAATTTCAACTTATCCCATGGTCAACAACCCATTCTTTGTTTACCTGCTATAACCGACCCACATACACACAGCGCGGCATGGTGGAATGATAATGTAGCTCAGTAACTTCTAATGGCTGCTTTAAAATTTGTACGAAAGCTAGTTATTTAACTTTATTTCTCCAAATAATGGCATGTCGACATATCGATCGTGTAGGTATGCTACTAAATTTAGATTTCATCGTGCATGTGTGAGGAGGCGAAGGAGAGCTGCAACCACGCCTGGGCCGTAACCTATTGAATTTTGCGCTGGGCTGTGGACAAAGCATTTGGAAAAACAATTAAGGTTGATTTATCATCGCCTCGGCTTCATGGTCATTCCATACATGGTATTCTACCCAGCAATTTGGTGGTCAAAATTTCTTTGGCCGCCAAAAAACCAAGGGTAGGTGGGTGTGGGTCAAGTGGGATAATAGCTATTTAGAAAGAAGTCTACTTTTAGGTATGTATAGTATGATCATATGGATAGGCAGATTCAGGGAAAATTTTTGAAATTTAAAAATAATTGGAGAAAAGGGAAAATAGCATTCAAATTTAAAGTGCCATTTCTGACTATCTAGAAGCGATATAGTCTAGACACAAAATATTGTACCAACCATGGCGGTGCTGAGGTAGTCTCGACCCACCATCTGAACATGCATCCATGATCTGAACAATTGCCTTTCTGGAATCCCTTTATTTCGGACACTAATAGAGTAGATATTGATCTATTTATTATTATTACTATTTGTACTTTTTTTTAAAACTAAATGTTAGCTTGCATGATGAGACAGAAATGTCCAGAACCATCTTAAATTGCTTATGATAATGAAAGAAAA